GACCGGTAGATCACCTTTGGGATAGCCACATTTCTCTTGCTGTCAGTGTATTGAAGGAGTCTGTTTCACTCTTCTACGGAAACCAGATGCTGGCATAGGATTGAGGACGTTGGAAGGCCTGTCTGACGTATTTTCCTCAGTGACTCGAAAGCGGAAGCGATCATGGAAAGCGAATTGAAATGAAGCTTTTTACCATTTAAGTTGCACAAAGGATTTGCGCCTGTTTCCATTTTGGGAAACCCAGACCAAAATATACTTTCCCTGCCTTCAGGTAGTCAATAGGCCGCTTTCTCAGTCCAACGGGTGGAAAACATGACGCTATACGTTTTTGTGTTTTCATTAGTAATCAGTTCTAACTTGATATAGCTTAGCGTGATTTTCATCGGGCGTTGAGTCTATCCGAAAGCATATGCCTATGTTTGTATACTTTTGTTTCCCTGAGACCAGAAAATTAATTAGTCAAATCCCAGAAAAACTGATTTTTCGTGATCTGATTGGTTATTTTGCCAATTATGAAAATGAGTCTTTGATGAGACCTTCCCGGTGCAGTTTGCAGAGGCAATCAAAACGAATGAAGAAAGGAGGTCTTGGAACTCTGTGTTGTTAATTTGTGTATATATCCATGGTGTGTAATTGTGCAATACCACGGTGACAGAACTTATGGAGCAGTATGCTTACGGCGTTTGTAATGGCTAACGGAATGTGTTCAACTTTGTGGCTACAATGGTGGGTATCTTTAATCTGCTTCTCACCTATTACTGATTTTTTATCTGCGCTCTAAGGGCGAAAGGTAACTTTGCCTGTCAGAGCCTGAGACCCATAATAGTTAATCAGTAAGTTCGATGCTGTACCGCAGCAACTACGCCTTTTGCAAATAACTAACTAATCAGGAGTGGCAAACATGCCTTTTGTTTGGCATTAATCAGTACAGTATCAAGTGTTCCAGTTTTGGAGTCCCAACCATGGCGAACTGCATCAATTAAAGTACAGGAGTGCAAGGCAGAATGAAGTACAGTTGAGTATTTCCTCCTCAGTTGCTGCGGTAGCCTTGAAGACTTACCGTCACCTTTGAACTTTTAAATAGTGGTGTAGGCGAGTTGTGCTTCATGGGTTCAAAATTTTTCTAATGCCTCTCAGCTGTCCTGTGCATTTGAAAGACAATGACTTTGAAAAAAATTAAATATTTGAGGCCACGCTTCATATTAACTGCCAAAAAACGATCCTCATTAAGTACTTGTTCCTAATGCACAGCTAATTATGACTCATAGGCAGCACGCAACTCCAAACGATGCTTATTGAGTTAGTGTAAAAAATGAAAAAAAAATATTATCATTTAGCAGCAATTAGAGGATCAAGGTTTGGAAATTTGGCAGCATAACCCAACCTCAAATTGAGCGTTCAGGGCGGATGACACGTGTCGTGACCGGGTTTGCCTCTAGGTGTGAGAAAATCATTTTTTATAGACTGGTGCGATAATTTTAAAACGCGACCGTGAGAAAATTTTTATGGTTATGGATTGGTGCTTAGTGAATCAGCAGTTGTAACACCTTCGTGAAGAGATGAGCAGAAACGGAGACTGCGTTAGAGACAAGAAAAGGGACAGGAATAGAGAAAGTACACCATCTCTTTTAAACCTGATGATGCAGCTATTTACCGCCATTGATTCTATGCTTTAGTTTTCTTTTAACTGTGTTTCAGTGCATGACTGTTCGATGCCATCCTCCTCTGCCATTTTATGTGGCAGGTGAAACGGAAACTTTCTAAAGTCAAATTTTCATGAACGATTGTTCAACAGTGAAATAGAATAGCGCGTAGTTTGAAAACTCGTTGTATCTAGTCGACGTTTTTAAATATAGTCATACTGTAGTTAAGATAATGTTTAAGGTAGTTTCATAATCCAATCATTGCGCAATCCTAAATGTTATTCAACTTGTTCATAATTTTCCGGCTTTTGAAACTAAACTTAGAGCCACTTTCTCTTTGTTGAGGTTTATTGTTACAAATTTACACTCATATACATCTTCTTTTGCCTCTTCTTTTTCTTCGTTTTTTTTTGTTCTTCTGTATATCCTGTCGCATCGAAGACGACGCCGGTTGCCGTACAAGGATTCTACTTCGATCGAATAAATGCGTGCTCACACTCTTCAGTCTTTTAGATGTCACGTCAGTTCCAACGAGATCATC